AAATATGCCGAGGAAATAAAAATGTACGCCACAAGGCAAAGTCAATAAATAGAATCTATTTATTTTATATGATATTTTCTTTAATATTTTTTTCTCATTGAACTGAACGGCTGAACAAAAAGAAGACAGAGTTAAAGCAATGATTCTAGCCAATCGGGACCGAAGATTGAGTGGTGCCATCCATCCGTCTGTACTTTAATATCACATTGCAATGACTGTCGATCAATCTGCAATCGCGTAAAAAAACTAACTGTGCAGACGGTTGATCTTATATTGCATAAGTCATCAGTTCCATTCGAAGTATCATCAGTTATTTATTTTGTCAATTTCCTCTCAACAGGCGAAGGCMATCTTAGATAAAGTCGACGCATTTCTGACGAACAAAGAGATTAACACCTTCTCTTACAAGAAAGGTTATTCCAAGGTCATYAGTGGTCAGGACGAAGCAGTCTACGACTGGGTCACCGTTAATTTCTTGAAAGGYACATTTTCTGGTAATACTATTAAGAAGTCKTATGGCGCTCTTGATATGGGCGGGGCATCGCATCAAAACGCCTTTCAGGTATGTTAATGGCCCTAAGACGGCATCCATTTTTGCAGTTCGCAATGTGCACCAAATGCAGTTGTGTCGTGTTTGTCTTTCCCTTGTTGCTTTTTGTATTGGTTTACTTTTTGTCATAACGTTTTAACTCTATTTTGAGTGTTCATCTAAAAAGGTAGAAATAGTCATATTCAAATGAGAGCAATATCGAATATTTCGAATCTTCAGTGATCTCATGTTGATCGTTATTGTATTTTCCAACTAATCAATCCAACAGCTTAAGAAGATCTTAGCCAGATASAAACCGGACACTGTTCACTTGGACATCGCAGGAAAATCATACAACATCTTCGCGCACAGCTACCTGGGAGGAGGCGAAGCCGAGGCCAGAKCGAAGTTCCTCAAGAAACTCGTGGAAAGCCAAACACGTTATGCAAAGATCGTGTACAGCCCATGCCATAACTACGGCATCATAAGACATGTCACCGTTGATTCCGAACAGTACGAGATAAGAGGTGCCTTCCATGGTCAAAGCTGCCAAGAAATGATGAAAAGGTATTTCTTTTGTAACCGATGTGATTACAAGAACCAGCCAAGACTKGTCGGAGACTTCTATTCGTTCAGYGTCTTCTCTTATGCCTTTAAAGCAACTGGAGTTGTTACGCGCGATGATGAGTTGGTTCCAATATCGAAAATCGACACCAGCCTGACATCCTTTTGCAACATGCGAAGTGATCAGTTTGACTACAAAGCAGATCCTTATCCAGATATACGTTGCTTTCAATTAAATTACATCAAAGCACTGTTAAAGTATGGTTATCG